GAGTCCAGGGCATCTGGGAGCCTTCCGGAGGAGCCTCTCCAGCCTGGTTCCTCCTCAGTGTTTTTGTAGTCAGTGGATCCTAAAGCAAAACATCTACTCTTGCTTTGGCATTTGTGTTCTAATGTGTAAACGAACTTAGAAATGTTTCTTGTTTTCTGAGAGAAAGGTAGTAGGGCTTTGTCAAGCCAAATATGCATGCTCCAAACACAATTTCAGCTTGTCCCCATTGGTAGTTTATCCTCAGTTCTTTTTTTCTCAGTCATGTGGCTCCCAAAGTCCATACTGATTTTCTACTGGGTCATTTCCCCCAAATGCTGCTCTGGTGGCCTCTAGGCTCTGGACACTGTCCAGACAAACCCACTGGGCATCATATAACATGTATGATACGGAACAACCTTTGCAGTCACATAATTCCGGGTCTGAATTCTAGGCCAGCCACTTAGCAAGGACCCACCCATCATGGGCATTGCCCAACCTCTTGAGCTTTAGAAAAATGGTGGGGCAGGGGCAGTCAGAGTTTCACAGGGTTGTTGAGATAATTACAAGAGATAATTGATGTTCAGCCTCTGAGGCATAGGAGGTACCCAATAGGTTAGGGACACTCACAGCATTCTGGACACAGAATTATTGGCTCCAGGCCCATCACCCTCTCCTGCATGTCCTCAGGCCTCAAGGGCACCCAGTAGGGGATGGTGGGGCCATCACCCCATGCTTCCTATGCCCTCCTCCATGGAACAATTCCAGGCCCTTGACATATTTTGCCTGAATTGTTACAATGGCCTCCAAAGGACTCGTCTGCTTCCAGAGCTCCTCAACTATCCCTTCTCCTCATCACCACCGGGGGAACGTTCGTAAGGCAGAGGCGTGATCATGCCTGCCGAAAACCCTCATAGACTCGTCACCATCCAGAGCAGGAACCATGCTGTCAGAGCCCACAGAAGGCAGAAGGAAACATAAACGAGTGCCAGGACCATGGATAGGCAATGGGGGGCGGTGAGGATTGTGGCAAACTGAAGTATGGCTGTATCAAGGCATTCAAACTCAGAATTCCATAAAAACCTCGGGGGGCAAAATAAAGGTTGTCCTGGGACTGAGTGCAGCCTCAGGCTGCCGGTGTGAGAGCTGGCCGGGAGTGCGGAGTCCGTGCTCCTCAGCCTGGCCTATAAGATTCAGCCTCCCTCTTGCTATGCCCTACCTGGCTTAGAAGTCACACGACTATCAAACGGCTTGCAGGTCATCTGCACATACCATGCTGGTGCTCAGCGCGGCGCGTTGATCAAGCCTGGAATTCCCTTTCCCTTAGTAAAATCCTGCTCATCACTTTGAAACTCAGTTCAGGCAACGCCTCCTCAGGAAACCGTCTTTGCACCAATTCCCAGTTCAGCCAGCTGGGTGATGTATCTTTTCCTGGTGCCCCAACCATACCTGTTGCTTTTCTCCTTCATTGTACTCATCAAGTGGTAATATAATGATGTCTTTTTTGTCTGCCTCCCCTGCTAAGGTGTAAGCACCTAAGATCAGGGACCAAGTGTTAATAACCTTTGTACTTAGCAAAAAGGAGCTATTCAATCATTGTTAAATCAATGAATGGGAGGTATGTGTTCCCCAGAGTAGTGGGAAGGAGCCTGAACAGTGGCACAAGGGGTGCACCCATCAGTGACAGACAAACATTGGGAGAGGCATAGGACTGGTCATCCCTATCTCCCTTCCCAGGCACAAACATCACAGGAATGAGAGAAGACAGTGAAAGCAACAGAGCTGAGGAGCAGGAATGCCTTTGACTTCATCTCTCAACTACAAGGCTGTTTCTCCTTATTGCTGATTCCAATTCCCGAGACAGAATCTGTTCAGTTAAATCACTTTGACCCTGATGGGACAGCTGCCCACACCAGACCACCTCTAGCTGCCAGCCAGGCTGCTATTGGCTGCCTGTCTGTGGGCAGGGGTCCTTTTTTGGTCCAGCTGGGTCAGGAGCATCTGCTAAGAAACATGGTTCCTTCCATGGATAGAATCTCTCTGAAGGAACTTTGAGGCAGGTGTTCTCCAGCCTGCGTGATACAGGGTTCAGGGCTGAGACTACTGTGAGGTGAGTGACGTATTGAAGAGTACAAAATTTAAGGAAGGGTCACTCTCAGCGTCGTGGAAGTGTCTCACTTGCCTCACCCTAATCCCAGTCCTGACGGAGCCGATTTTCTGCATGACATCAAGGAAGTCACTGTCTTTCTGATCTTCAGTTTCTTTATCTGTAAAATCAAAGGGTCGAACTATTTGCCTGTTAGGTTCTTTCAGGCTTTAAATCTCCTTTATACTCACCCAGCTTCTGGGACAGCTCACTCCCCTCCATCTTACCCACTGGACCTTCTCCCTTTGTCTGAGAGGGGCCTGATTATCTCTTGATTGGCTTCTGCAGCCAAGCCTGGCTTGACATCTAAAGGGCCCAGCTCACAAGCCACTTAGCATAGGCAGTCATGAAAGAACAACATAACATCTGTTCTGGGCTTTCATGGAGGACGTGCCTCACATTCCTCCCCTCAAAGCAAAATTGATCGGCCTTGACCTGGGGCTGCACCAGGCAGAAGTAACCCTCAGGGGGGCTGGGGTACCATTCGGTGCCCAGATGAGGTCAGTTACCACATGGTCCTTGGTAGCCCTGAGGAATGAGAGGTATTTGCCTCCTCTATTAATCACTCACAAGAGTTATGAATATCTTGGGTCAAATTGACAGTTTGCATCTTGGCAGACAAAGGGGCCTAAGGTTTGACACCCACTTAGTAAAAGTCCATTAGTTTTGTTCCTCTGAGATAGAGTCAGAGAATCACAGAGATAGGAGGGGGAGATGAGGAGGCGAGAGGGTATTGTCCCTCTAGTCCAACCTTAGATCTGATACTTGAACCTAAGCTAAGAGGGTTCCATCAGTCATCTTTCTCCAAAGGCAGCTCATTTCACTGTTGAATGGCAAAGATTATTAGAAACATCTCTTATAATGATGAGCTAAAGTATATCTCTTTGACACATTTATATATTAGTGTAGAAGAAAAACAAGTAAATTTTGCATCCAAATAGTTGCTCCTAAAACATTTGAAGACATTACCACATCTTACTCAAATTTCCTACTTGGCATGCAAAAGAGGAAAAAAAAATCTCTATGTATTTCAGTCCATCCTTACATGACAAATTTCCCAGGCACCCCATCCCCTCTGACTCATCCTAGCCCCCCCCTCTCCTGGAATCACAGTGTATTGGTGACCTACACATGATCGTGCAAGTGTGCACAGTCTATCAATCATCTCTACTCACAGATGTCATTGGATTATGATAGAGTCAGGACACAACCTAGTTCTGCCGATTCCCAGGTACTTGGGGTAGATGGAGAAATACTAATAAACTAGTGAAAGAGGGGACTAGCCTTTACAACACATAAATATTTTGCGTGGAATTGACCATGTATGTATCGCCCCTCGGGGACGCTACAGGCCACGCATTTGCACAAAGCCAGCAAGCTCATAGATGCAGAAACACTGACCACCTAGATGTGCTATCCGCTGACCCACACCAATTACAATTACATGGTTGTGTTAA